TACTGCCAGGAAGCCCCACATGCCATCAAGGGGCAGGCTAAGAAATGCAGCTGAGCAGCACTCACGTGTCATAGATGTGGATAGTGGCTGGAATCGCACTGATAAACCCAACCAGCTTCTTGCTGGAGACAACTCGGACTCCACAGTGCCACTGGGGCAACCAGCCTGGGGGACGCAGGGCCCTGCAGAAGAGACACTCTTCAGAAGACACGTCCCACCAAAGGTCTCCAGCGTACCTGCTCAGCCCCGGGGCACGGTGTGTCCTGCTCCAGCTGCTCAGGGGGTGGCAGGCAGGAGGGGGAGAGGGTGACTTTGATGGGACAGGGAGGAGCTGCTGGCACCCGGGGCAATTCTGTGGCCACTCCACGGCCAAGGGGAGTTGTCACTAGTGGCACAGGAGGAAACCCACATTCCTCAAGCCACGAACACCCAGAAGGAGGAGCAGCTCTGCTCCAACACGTCTCCAAGTGTTACTGCTGGCAATGGTACTTGGCAGCCACCTCCATCCTCCAGCTCCAGGCGCTGGGAAGTCCCTCAGCTACCTGGAGTTTTACAAACACTCATGGGATCAAACCAATGAGGAAAAATATCAAGTTTTAGGCTCCCATGTCTCCAGGAAGCCAGAGCCAAGCAGGGCCGGGCGAGAGACCTCTCCACAGCCTACCTGGGACACGGTGGACGGTGACAGATGGGGAAGGGAGACTTTGGCAAGGTGTGAGATGGAACAAGCAAAGGCAGCTGTGGTGCTGTCACCGGGATCAGCCTGGGCAGCAGCGGCCCCGGAGGGCCTCGGCGCGGTGGCCGTGCTGCCACTCACCACAGCAGGAACTCGGGGGAGTAATCGAACCGGAACATGTTGTCGTCGTCCTCCACGTAGTTCTCGTTCAGCAGCGTGTACAGCTCTTTCAGCTAAAGCAGGAGAGACCACGCAGGTCAGGAGCCATCACAGGCCCCAGCTGCTCACTGACAGGCCCCTCGGCACCTCCCGCGTGGCCGCAGCACCGGGAGCCAG